TGATTCTTAAATCTGGTCCTGATGCGCCGCTCGGGGCAAACCGGCAACGTGGTTGGATGTTCTTCGGTAAGAAATACATTGCCCATCTTACCTGCATTGCATTCTAACTGTGGCTTCTACTATAGGTAGGGTGACCATATGTACTTTTTTTAGTAGGACAGTACTTTCTTTTCAAACGCTGTCCTATTGTACTTTAAAATTTATGAAGTACACCTAAATGTACTCTTTTTCTTAAGCACACAAAATTAAGTCCTACTTTTTGTCCAAAGTCACCGCCTAGAAGAAAATGCCATTTTAATGTCGAGTTGCAAGCAGAGTATCCTTTTATGAAACAAAAATCAAATGTTTCACCGCATATTGTGTTTTGCCAAGTTTGTAAAAGTGATGTTGATATTTCCTAACAGTGGTCGCAGTAATATCAAACAAAATTTGTCAAAGAAGAAACACGTGTTGGCTACTAATGCGAACTCGAAGAGCAGCAAATTGGAAACCTTTGGTAAAAAAGAAAATTTAAGTTCTGAAAATATGTTGATTGCTGCCAAGGAAGGTACTTTTGCTTATCATAAAATTAAGCATTTGCAAAGTTTCAGGTCCTTAGACTGCACGTCAAAACCAATTGTAAGCATGTTTGAACCTAAATTTGCGGCAGCTCGAACCAAGACTGAGGCGATTGTTAAAAATGTTTTAGCTCAAGAGGCTCAATCCCAATTAAAAATTGACCTTCGAAAAGCAAATTTCGTCAGCATCACAATCGATTCGTCGAATCATAGAGAAATTAAAGTTGTGCCCTTAATGGTAAGATATTTTGATGGAGAAAATGGTGTCCAAGTAAAATTACTTCAGCTACGTGACTTACCTGGTGAAACATCAGAGCAGTTAAAAGATTACGTGGTCAATGTTTTGAACCACCATAATCTACTACAAAAATTCATCGGAATGTCTGCTGAAAATACAAATACAAATTTTGGTGGAATGAGAAAAAAAGGAGTGAATAACCTATTCAGCAAATTAAATGCTTCTCGTGGTAAACCCGTGATTGGAATTGGTTGTGTGGCACACATTTTTAATAACTGCTTACAAAATGCGACGGTCGTCTTATCCATAGACATCGAGGTTACTGCGGTAAAGATTTTTAAGTATTTCTATATTTTTACAGTCAGAGTGGAGAAATTAAAACAGTTTTGCGATTTTGTTGATATCGAGTACAAAAAATGTTGTCGTTTTCAAAAACAATATTTTTGAGCCTAATGCCAGCCACTGAACCAATTATACAAATGTTCGAACCCTTGAAAGCATATTTTTTTGTCGATTGATAATTGTCCAACAGTTCTAAAACAGTTTTTTCAAAACCCAATCAGTGAAGCATGGATGTGGTTTGTGCATAACATTGCGTCTCTCGTCCACAAAGTTATTTTAGATGTAGAAGGTGACAAAATAAGCGCAATGGAAGCCGCTTTGGAGTATTTCGAAGTTATAAATAAGCTTCAAAATCGCTTAAATAAGTTATTTTTACCGCTTAAAGTAAGAGAGTCCCTTTCAAAACTTAAAAATATGGTGAGAGACCAAGACCTTGACCTTAGTGTGAGCTATCGGGATATCTTTATCACGCGTGTCAAGCAGTTCTATTCAAATTGTGTAACATATTTGAAAAACTGGAGTGAAAATTTAAGTGAACTAAAGCTATTTGGATGAGTTAACTTGAAAAAACAAGTTTCTTGGGCTGAAATTTTATCGTCGTGTGAGGCTTTCAAAGTCACAGACTGGAATTCGAAAAATATTTCTACCAAAGATCGATGGCTCGAAATCTTCCAAAAAGAAAGGGCTTTGAAAAATCTCAAAATTCTATGTGAGTTTGTTTTTTGTCTGTCGAGACCAGTGCGTCGATTGAGCGGTTGTTCTCAAATATCAGTAACTATTGGAGTCCCAACAAATCGCAGTTGAAAATATCTACTCTGGAAGCCATCATGCAAGTCTACACAAACTTCAAAGTTTCGTGTAATAAAATGTTTCAGTTCTTAAAGAGTAAACCACAACTTCTAAGGAAATCCATAGTTCCAAAAAGTACGACTGGTACGAAAATGATGATCAAGATGTTCAGAAAGGAACGTCGAAAGAAAATTAACTACTAAAATGTATCATACATTTTTTATGTACTTATGTTTGATTAAAAAAATCGTTCTTATCATTGTTTCATTAAATATTCGTAAAATTTTGACCAGAAAAATTTCCTAGGGCACTAGCAGTGTACATATTTTCTTAAAAATTATAAATGTACTTTTTTTTTGTTGAAAAAATTATGGTCACCCTAACTATAGGCCACAAATTTTTGCTGGTCTAAATTCTCAGTGTACAAATGAGCGCGTCTGTCCGTACGGGTGGACATTGCTTGATGGGCGTAATCATTCGGTATCACCAGTGGTATGTACAAAATATGCATATATATTTTGTGGGTACAGTAAAGTAAAAAAGTAAAAACGTCTCAATTTTAGCTTTTATATTAAGTGAAGTGAAAAATAAAATCTTGTATGTAGCATTGGTGTTACCGGATCGTTACGGTCATCGAGCAACATCCATTTCTCGGACCAGAGGCCCTCTGGTTAGATTATAGTAAGTCTGGCACTCATTTGTACAATATAAATTTAAACCGGCAAAAATGTGTGTCCTAGATCTTGTTTCTTTCTCTTATACGCGTTGTAGCCAAGCGCCCGTTCTGTCATAAGCGCTTTATTAACGATCAAAAAACATAGTTTTAAATTAAAATATGCCTAAAGTACTTATCGTGAAATGAAAACAATGTTTGAACTTGAATTTAAGTCCTTGGTTAACTTAAAAATATTGTTTTTAATAGTGTTTTTGAAAATCGTAATTTAGAGTTTTCCTCAGTTTTAAAATATTTATAACTCGAAAACGACCAAGTTTACGAAACAACTACAAGTGACTTATTTTGTTTAGAATGATTCAACAAATTTTAAAAAAACTTCTACGGGCCAAAAAAAATGTATAGTATACAATTTGTTTAAATAAAATTTGAGCACTTTTTCGTCTTTGCAACCTCTTGAACTTTATTTTGGGGCATCTCATGAAAGTGATTATGCAAAAAAATCTCATGGGAATATTTTTCCGAACGAACCCTAACTTGTCGCTTTGTCTAGGTGTACTGTCTGAGATTTGTCAACAATGCTAATCGACGTATTTTTTTCTTTTTTTTTGCCGATGTCGTTGTTACACATAAGGAATTTTAGTCCATTGCATTTTATATTTTGTACCACATATTTGAATACCGTATACTAATCCTAACCTAACCTAAAAACGAAAATCGTACTGCTGGGACCAAATAGTAAATGTTTAATTATTAACAAACATGAGAAAAATTTAAAGTAAAACAAACGAGAAAATATAATTAATGAATTTAAAAAAAAAAAACGAGACCAGAAGCGTTGGAGATATTGTGCCTTATAAGGCTGCTTAACATTTCATGGATCGACCATATTACCAATGAACAGGTCTTAAGAAAAATTATTACCCAAAGAGAGCTTCTAAGTATCCTTAAATGGAGAAAAGTCTCATAATTAGGTCAAATAAAAGGTCAACGTGCACCAGGTAGGAAACTTCGCTCATAATTCGGAAATATACGAAAAACTAAAAGCGTGCAACTTTGCACTTAAATTTTTTTCATAGTAGGTAAAAAATTATTATTTGTAGTGAGGCACGCATTGCCTTAAAAGCGTTTTTACGATCAATAATTGTAATAAAAGATGTTATAATCATCAGTTAATGTGATTTTTAATAATAGTGATTGCAAAATAATTAGTTTTTTGTTAAGATAATATTACAAAAGATTATTGAGATGTCATTTATCCGTCAAATACATAGGTTCAACTACCGAACCATCGAGAAACATAATTAAAATAATTCAGCCATTTTACAAATCATAAGTAAATTAGTTGATGGTATTTATGATTTTTTATTATCAGTTTAAAAATTGTTTAATCTTGATATACATATCATTAAATATATAGGATGTGGTGATATATCGTACAATTGAACTATTGGAAAGAAAACTCTACCTAAAATGATTTGAAGATTTTTGCAGCATATTGCAAATGCCCACGTTTATCATCTTCTTCTTTGTGTACCATGCTTGCTTTCAAGTGTTGGCTTTTGCAATGTTAACAAGCTGGTGTAGTTTTTCTCGTTCAGTACCTACATTAAACGATTCCTCAGCAGCATCCAGTCCAAACAATGCGCAGCTAAGACAGTTATTTTTTGTTCCAAATTAGCGTTTTCTTTCTAACGTTTTGCCCTGAATGATCAATCGGAGTAAGCGATATTTAGGTTCACTCATTATATGACCGAAGTAATAGAACCTTATAATTTCAATGGTGTTAATCAGTTCTCGCTATTTGTGCATGGTTTCTAGCACACGTTTATTGAATATGTGTGCTATCCACGGAATTTTGAGCACGTATACTTAGCACCACAACTTGAACTTTTATTTTTTTTACTTTTATTGTCCAGGTTTCAGATACATAAAGCAAAGGGGACTAGACAAACCAATTTATCAATATTACAAGCGTATTGAACGATATATTTCTTTTGCATACTACACAAAGCTATGTAATTACGCTTTTGCTTACTAGTTATATTTTAATTGAAATTTCTTTATCGCTCTTAACCCTGTAGTCAACTCAGCTACCCAGATATCCAAAGTTCCAACTGGTCCAGGGTTTTGTTTTCTAGTTTTATTATCTGTGTTCAATAGAGTTTGAAGGTCTTCTAGAGTCTATGCTATTATGGTAGTATTACCTGCGTATCTGATGTTATTAATCATTTCGCCACCCATTTTAAAACCTTCTCTAGGATTTTTTAACGTTATTTTAAACACTAAGTCAGAGTAAGGATTAAACAATATTGGTGACACAACACCATGGTTATTATTTACTAGCTTAATTAATAAAAAAGATTTAGTTATGATTATTAAACCACTAATTTTCTTACAGTGGCTCATGGTGGTATCATTGGCAGTCCTATACAACGTTATTTTCGTCCTAGGAAGGGCAGTGTTTTGGGAACTAAATAACAAAGCCGAAGTTACCCCTTTATGGTGGACTTTGGACTACCTCTGTGATGCTATATACATTATCGACGCCTTGGTGCACGCACACGAAGGTGAGTTACTGCCTCTCTTTTAAGACCAGTTTTAATAGCTTTTTGTTTCAATTTTACAAAGTTTATCGTCTTAACATATATATAAAATTGAGAGTCCGGTATGTTAATAAAAGTATATCCGAGTGTATTAAATATCACTTTATATAATTAGTGGAAAGCTATGAATTGCCAAAGAAATAACCAAGAACCATCTACGTATCGATGGAGTGTAGTCATAACATTCCTAGACCATTCTAACTTAGACATGACTATTAGAAAAAACTATCTACTCCTAACACCTTAATCTCAAAAAGATAATATTAGTACATCTACCACACAGATAAGACTTTTCATGAAATAGAAACAGCTACTCCTCAACACATACAAAAATGTGTCACTTTTCAAGGGAAGGAAATACCACGAATATACCTTTTGACATAGACAATCTTCGTAAATTATCTTTCACTAACGATGAATCGGTTGCAGGTGTGAGTTTATTTTAATAAGATCAAAGAAATAAATAATAGTTTAGAACGATCATGCCGAATATAGGAGGCCCAAGCAGCCAAAAACAAAGAATGTATTTGCAAATGGTACAGTCGACCCTCTTATATGGAACCCCCATTTGGGCAGATGTACTAATTACAAAAACTACAGAGACATGATAACTAGAGCCCAGCGAAAGCCCCTATTAAAAGTGACAAGTTCGTACAGTAGCCTTACAGGTAATAGCGGGCACGCTTCCCATTCACTTCCTAGAAAAAGACCGGCAGATGCTCTATAACCCTCGAGACGGCGTCCTACCTCAGGTCAGGCCATTAGAGAACAATTATTACTAACAGAATGGCAAGCAGAATGGGAAGCACAGATAGACAAGACACAATGGACCAAAAAATGAATACCCAATGTGATACATTGGTACAAATGGAAGTTCAAGCAAGTAAATTTTTATTTTATGCAGTTCCTGCCAGACGTCTTTCAGGTCTTAGACGTATCGTATACAAAAAACCAGAGATGATAATTGTGTCATATGTAACGTAGAAGACGATGCGGAGCATTGTATCTTCAGGTGCAAGGTGTTTTCGTCGGAACAATATACAATGCGAACAAAGCTAGGAGACAGATCCTCTGAAAACTTAATACGTGTCGCTATTGAAAGCAGAGAGAACTTTGAATTTCTTATAGGCCAAGTAACATGTATTCAATTTCATGATAGAGAAGGAAACTGAGACAGGATAAGAGTGATCTGGGGCAATTCGCCTCCATTCAAAATCGGTTATCATTTGTAGCGATAAGACTACCAAAGAGAATTGAGATACTATTATAAAAATAATACTTCAATCAACCATGGGAGCTTATCGTCTATGCTTCGTCTAGCTCAGTATCTCAAGTGTGAGTTCGTCTTGTCTTAAACTAGGAATTAAACCATGAACCTTAGCTGATAGCAAATGAAACAATTATTAACTAATCATATTTATTAAAAATAGGAAACAATCAACCCTGCCAATGCTTTATAATGAATACAATGTGGACGATACTTATGGCATCGATGGCATCAGTGGGCTGCTTGCTACCAATAATCTGCGGCCTTCTAGTTAGGTAATTAGGCCCTCCTGACAGCGGCAGTTAGGTCCATATTATATTCTGAAATTTCTCATAAAATCTCCAATATTCTTCTATACAGCCAATAAGTTCTTCAATACAGCCAATAAAACTTGAATTCGGCCAATAAATACAGCCAATAAACTAAAAGATCAGAAACAGCTTGTATTACAGACACATCAAAAAGGGTTTAATTTTCTTGCCAATTTACAAAATTACAATTAAACAAATAGCAGACGGCAAGGATAAAATGAAATATAATTATTATTAATTAGTTTAATTCTGGTAAGATTCCTATATGCATATAACTGAACAACGTGCTTTGAAAAGAAGTGAGGTTACGAATACGAATATTGAAAATGCCGTCAGAATTATAGAATAAAGATTACAATGAAAGTACTCACCACAAGAGAATTCTGCAGACCATAAAATGAAGCTTATAACAATTTTTGCCTTCTTTTATAAATTTTAATTACAGACACAAAAACATATCTCACTATGTCAGAAAAGCTGATTGACGGAAAGTAAGTGGGAGATTGATATGAAGTTAGTACATATGTCATAGGATGTATGCCTATGATGGAATTAGCTTTTCTGTCAACATAGAACAGAATATTGAGTCTACAGGATAGAAAGAGAGAAGGCAAATATTTATTCTACCGGAAAGAAAGAGAAAGAAAAGAAAGACAGAGGGCGCCAACTACTTTTTGAAGAAAAAATAGTAAAAAGAATTTGAAGGCAAAGAAATTAATAAATTAATAAAGAAATTAAAACAAAATCATTATTTACATATAAATTAATAAAGACGTGACATTTATAACGTTATACATTATATAATATGTATAAATACATATATAGATATGTGTGTATATATGTATGTGTGTATGTAGGTGTGTATATGTGTATGTACGTATGTATGTACGTACTTGTAGTTGTTTACTATATTGACTTATTGTATCCTAGTATTCCCATACCTTATTGTTACCTATTATACCTATACATTCCATATACTTTCCGCCTGGTTTCTTACCGCTATTAGGTAATACCATCGGCAAGGCCGTATACATTTACATACATTTTCTTCTGGTTCCTTACCGCTCCTAGCTAAGAACCGGCAACAAAACTTCATTATCCATTCAGGCAGCACAATGCACCCCTAAGTTTTGTTCACTAACTAAACACGTACGGGGTGTCTTGACGAAGAATGGATGGTTTTAGTTGGTAGGCAGGGTAACAGAAAGGCATCCGTTTGAAGGACCTCCTTTACACAGGGGGAAATGGGCTCGAATATTTTTCTCTCTTCTGAATACAACACCCGAGCAATGGTATGGTGTTTAGATCATTTCCATACTCATCAAAATAAAAAGATAGCACTGATGATGGAATAGTTATTTCGAAAACGTTCTGTAATGTAGCCCGATAGGGTTTTTATATTAATATACCTTTTATAAACGAATTTTTTAAATAAAAATATTAATCCCCTTTTATTATTAAATGATTTAACTCAATTCAGATCTCGTATCTCACACAAGCCTAAACTGGTACAATTTTTTTTATTAAAAATAATATTATCAAAAATTATGTAAGATAATAATTGTTTTGTCTAAACTGCATGTATTAAACAGATATATTTATCTGTTATTCATAAAATACTGAAATATTTGGATGAGTGGTCTTTTCCATAATTTTTTTTATGATTAAAGTGTCTGCTTTATATATTACACTCTCCGAGTTACAGAATATATCGATATATCTTCATTGACGTGTTTTTATATATTATGGTTGTTTCCGAATGAAAATCAGTTCCAAAGGAAAACACAATAAGCCCTAAAGGTTGCAATTTTCCTGAAAAACACAGACAGTTTGTATAGCAAACGCGTAAAGGACTCGTTGAGATTTATTTCGCTTTTTACGGTTATGCCCTGGATAACTCACCACGTAAATAAACTATAAAGACAGAGTTCTCGGTCAGAAAATTCTTTAATTAATATCATGTAATTTATAATCACGTAAAAATAGCCTTATATAATAGTAATATATTTTTAAAATAACAACTAAATAATTAACGTAAGAGAAAATAAGATTATTTAGACCAGGGCGTCACCAAATGAAGGACCGCGGTCCGCATCCAAACCGTGAGCTTGTTTTTTGCGGACCGCCGTTAAATTCAAAATATAGTAATAACATTATAATCAAATCTAAATATCGATGGCGTCACGACAAAAAGGCATAAGCGCCAAAATTTCTAAATTTATGTTTTGGTATCAAAATAAAATACATTTTACGTCCTATCTACTATTAAAAAGACGCAGCTGTAAAAAAATTCCAACTCAACTAAAACAAGCTTTGAATTTTCTAACCGCCAAACGAGTTTCGTAAAAGATAAGACACCGAAATCAGTAAGCGACAAGATCCGTAGTGAAAGATGGTGCTTACGTCTTGGGTCTGTAAACGTAGTTATATCAATAAGATAAACAATAATTTGAAATATTATTAATATTTAATGTTTTGTTAAGCGTTTAGTTAAATTATTTATCTTAAGAAATCATAATATACCATAAGAATCTACAATTTTACCGACTCTCGGTTACGCCTTTTCAGAAAAAAAATTTTCGTTTATCTAACCGCCATTTGGCCATTTAAAATACACTATGACTTAAATTTGCCATAGAAAAGTTACTGCTTAACTGAATTAAATAAGGTTTGAACCTAAATAAAATATATATTTACTCTGTTGTATAGTCTTCTTTTTTTTTATTTTAAAGTTATATTTTGGTAGTAATATTATTTTAAAAAACTAACATTTGAATGGCGCTTACTTCTTTTTTTTAATTGCTTATCTGTATCTGTAGAGTAGGGAGGGCGAGTTAAGTTTCACAGCACTTAGGCCACAATTGACCCATCGTGCATCCTCCCAGGGAGCTGTCACCCTTAGCTCATTGTCCATCCTACCATTTCTAGGAAGGTAGACAAGTCACCAGGAGACATCTCACTTATGTGGGCAGGTGTAGGCCAGGACTCGCCGAACGCGTACTCTCGTAACATTTAAATGTTTAAATAAACTTAGATAATAATATGTTCCATCAAATTTTTTAACACTATAGTTGCAGAAAAAAAAACAATCTGAAACAGTAGCATTAAATGATTAAATTAAGTTCTAAGATACAAATATTTCAAATTACGCCGCAAAAATTTATTAAACAAAGACGAGAGAAAAAACAATATAATAGCTTTATAATCATCTTTTTCCTTGAGTTTATTTCATACCCACCCTAAACGAGGTGGTCTAGTGGCCTGGTTTCAACTACGTAATCAGGATGATCTCCTGAGGGGAGGTTACTACTAATGGAGGGTCTTTGGGTAAATCCCCACGGTTACGCCACTGCCTGGTTTAGTGCTGAGTGTCCGGACCGCAGAAG